ATAATCGCACATTCAGGGTCTTCGACTAAACACGATAGGTGTGACTAACAGACGCACTCAGTGCCTTCTCTTAGACACGGTTGTATGATAAACACGCACTACGGCCTTGCTTAAACACACGATGAACACAATGTTCCCCTTTTATATTCACTCATTCAACATGTTCATAACGAAGAGGTACATGGGTATTTATAGGTGCATAAATAAATCTAAGCGTAATCAAACTAGATCTCCTAAATCATGCAATAAAATAAATCCTAAACATATTAGAAGTAAATAAAGCAATATGGAAATAGAATCCTAATTAACTAGCAAGTCTTGAACTCCAAGTTTGCTTGATGCCCAAGTCGCCGCCCAAGACTCCTAGCCGCCCTACGCGTCGCGCGCGTCTGCTACCTTGCGCGCGTCGTCTCGCCTTTCCTACTCCTTGTGGCGTGCGGCAACCCGCGCGCTTGTCTTCCACGCAGCGCCTATCGCGTTCGCCGTCCGTCTGTGTTCCGCATCTTGCGCGTCGCTGCCACCCGCGCGCTCGCTATCTCCCAGTCCTAGTCCTGCGCGGACAGGGTCCGCGCACGCCTGCCCAGCATGCGCCCCGTTGCCTTGCACTGCACGCCTGTCGCTCGTCCCCTGCGCGTGCGTGCTGTCCTCCTTACCTAAACCTTCGCGCCCTAGGACTTCCGCGCTTGCCCCGCACTCGCGCGTGATGAAGGATCGTGTGTTTTGTTCCACTCGCTTGCCTCGAACACAGCCTCTCCACGACTTGCTCTCGACGGATAGGTGTGATCGACTCGGTTATTAGCCTAACTCTCTCACGATACTTGAGTTCACTCGGTAGTTAGCCTCGCTCCCTCAATTTTGAACTAGCTCGGGTCTTAGCCTCACTAATTCGATTGCATGATCGAACTCTCACGAATCCTAACACACGGTTTGAACAAACGTTCTTTTCTATTCACTCATCAATTCCAAGACTCCTCAAAACAATGATGGGATACCCCTATTTATAGGTGCATAAAATAAATCTAAGCCTAAGCTAATTAGATCTCCTAATTCTATAATGAAAAGCAACATGGTAATAAAATCCTAATACTACTATAATTATTCTTGCTTGACTTGCACTCAAATCCAAAGTCTTGAGCTCCAAGTCATGCGCCCTAAATACTTTCGGCCGCCCTTTCGCACGTCGCCCTTGCGCGGGCCGCCCTTCGGCCCTTACTCCTTGTCGCGCGCGGACTCGCGCACCGTGTCCCACACGCATGCGCCCGCCGCCTCTGCCTCGCCTAATCCTGCGCGGACTAGGCTTCGCGCGCCTGCTACCTAATCGCGCGCCAACGCACCCCGCGTCTTCGCTGTTCGTCCGTCGCACGTCCCGGCCACCTTTGCGCACGCTGCGCACATTCAGCACCCATTCGTGCCCGAGTATGCCCAAATGCGCGCCTTTTGCCTATTCGCCCGTCGGTCATGCCCGACCAACCTTCACATCCTTCGGCTTTGATGACCGCTTCCATATCAGCGCGCCATAGCGCGCTCCCATTTGCTGTGGACATCCCCGTGCGCGTGTGTTGCCGCCATTTCTAGGCCTTCGAGGCCTAGGCCACCAATTGCGTCCGCGCCACTCGCGCATCCGCCATGCCCCACGCGCCCGCTGCCCAACAACCGCGCATCCCGTCCACCCGTGTCCTTTTCGCGCGCATCAAGGCACGATTCGCACCACTCGCTCGTGCTCGCCTCTTCGTCGCCGATCGACTCCGACTGCTCGCCTGATGGTCCTAGTCCACCACTTGGGCCTAGCCCACCCCGACAATCCTCTATCCGTATGAACGGTCCCGACTTGTCCCATGGATCCCATCCTTCAACGCATCCTCCTTCCGACCTAATGCAATCTCCGACACGCTATGTCCATCCGTCTTCCATCCTATCCACGCCACATCTACGAACCTCCGAGCGCCATGCTCGTCTCTTTCTCGCACAAGGCCCACACCCACGACTTACCTTTTGAGCCTTCGCTTTACGTCGCCTTCGAGCTTGGTTGGCCTTGCGTTTCCTAGACTTTGACCATGGAACACATCCTTTCGGCCAATCTTTCACGCATGAAGGGCGATAAATCGGGCTTGATGGCTCCTCCAGCATGTTCTCCAACCATATATCGAGGTCTTCGTCAGCCCTGTCCTCCAACTCGCCAGGGTTGATGACCACTTCCGTATCATTCCCCTCCTCTTCAAGACCTTCCTTGTCCTCAAGGATAATGAAATTCAGCGCACCTTCATCATCATTGTTCGCGACTTCGGCCTCTTCAACTTCCTTGGCGTACTTTTCTTCTAAGCCTTTTCGCTCATACAGCTCCTCCAAATAATTTTGTTCCTCCGGAGTCAAACTCCTCTCCAAACCTTCCAGATATTCGAGATCTTCCAAATCCAACTCATCCAATGGCTCAAACATCATGACTCTCTTCATTTTTTTTTTAAACTCTAAGAAAAAATAAAATCAAAACAAACTAGAATGACACACTTTTTTTTTGATACTACACTCACGAAAAAAGAAGAAAAAAGAACAAAAATTCGAACCAAAAAGAAGAAAAATTCGGCCCCCTCAGCAAAAAGAAAACCGAAAAATAAAAAAGATAAAATAGACAATAACACGATTGGATTCTCTTAACGAGAGCACCAATGATGAGAGATCGTGATTTTGTCTATTGCTTGTGAATAATCGCGCACTCAGGGCCTTCGACTAAACATGATAGGTGTGACTAACAGACGCACTCATGGCCTTCTCTTAGACACGGTTGTATGATAAACACGCACTACGACCTTGCTTAAACACACGATGAACACAATGTTCCCCTTTTCTACTCACTCATTCAACATGTTCATAATGAAGAGGTACATGGGTATTTACAGGTGCTTAAATAAATCTAAGCCTAATCAAACTAGATCTCCTAAATCATGCAATAAAATAAATCCTAAACATATTAGAAGTAAACAAAGCAATATGGAAATATAATCCTAATCAACTAGCAAGTCTTCAACTCCAAGTTTGCTTGATGCCCAAGTCGCCGCCCAAGACACCTAGCCGCCCTACACGTCGCGCGCATCCGCTAGCTTGCGCGCGCCGCCTCGCCTTTCCTACTCCTCGTGGCGCGCGGAAACCCACGCGCTTGTTTCCCACGCAGCGCTATCGCGCTCGCCGCTCGTCCATGTGCTGCGTCTTGCGCATCGCTGCCACCTGCGCGCTCGCTATCTCACAGTCCTAGTCCTGCGCG